CTTATTTTAATTTGACCAGAGAAGGACAGAGTGAAAGAGAGAGAGAGAGAGAGAGAGAGAAAAAGCAAAAAAACAAGCCGCTAGGTCTGGGACTCAAACTACGGTCGGCCATGTGGGAATCCGGTGCCCTTAATCACCATGCCACCTGGCGGTCCCAATAATTTTTTTTTAAAAAGATTTATTTATTTATTTAATTCCATTTGTTGTCATTATTATTATTCTCTCTAAAAAAAAGTTTTAAATACATGAAATTGAATAAATCTTTTTTTAAAAAATAATTATTTTATTTAAACTAGAGACAGACAGAGACAGAGAGAAAGCAAGCTGCCAGATCCAGGACTCGAACCACAGTCAGCCATGTGGGAATCCAACGCCTTTAACCACCACACCATTTGCCAGCACCCCCCAATAATTCTTTTTAAACAAATTTTTAAAAAGGGGCCAGTAGGTGGTGTGGTGGTTAAGGGCACTGGACTTCCACATAGCCGACCGCCGGGGTTTGAGTCCTGGACCTGGGTGGCTTGCTTTGTCACTTTCTCCCTCTTGCTCTGTCCCTCTGTGGTCAAATTAAAATAAATAAATAAAGTTAGATAAAATAATCCTTTTAAAAAATAAATTGAGGGCCGACAAGTGGCCTGGTAGTTAAGGCACTGGACTCCCACATGATCAACTATGGTTCAAGTCCTGGACCTGGCAGCTTGTTTTCTCACATTCTCTGTCTATCTCTGGTCAAGTTTTAAAAAAAAATAATAAAAAATACACTTAAATAATTAAAAAATATTTTGTCTCAATGATGGGGTCAGCAGGCAGCGTGGAGGTTAAAGGCACTGGATTTCCACTTGGTTTACTGCAGTTCGTGTCCCGGACCTGGTGGTCTGCCTTCTCACTTTCCCTTACTCTATCTCTCTCTGTCTCTCTCTGGTCAAATTTAAAAATAACAACAAATGGAATTAAATAAATATTTGTTAAGGAACTATTTTATTTATTTATTATTTATTAATTTTTATTATCCAGTTTGATCAGAGAGACACAGAGAGAGACGGAAAGTGAGAAAGCAAGTCACGAGGTCTGGGGCTCCAACCGTGGTTGCCCATGTGGGATCCAACACCTTTAACCACCATACCACCTGCCGACCCCGATAAATAAATACTTTTTTTTGGAGTTTTTTTCTCTTTCTTTTTTTTTACTATAGGGCATGTGCACTTGCCAGAAAGACAGAGAGAGAGACAGAAAGCAAGAAATCACTCCCCAGGGAAGAAGGCCACGCCGCAATCCCTTCTTCTCCATTCTCCTCTTAAGATCTCAGGCACACATGCACACGCGCCCGGCATGAGTTTAAGCCGCCAGGTCTGGGACTTGAACTGCTGTCGGCTACGTGGGAGTCCAGGGACATAGCCATTATGCCAACTGCTGGTCCCAAATGAATAATTCTTAAAAAAAAAAAAAAAAGAATGGATATAAAAGGAGGGTCGACCCTGCAACCCTGTGGTTAAGGGAGCCAGATCTCTCATGGCTGATGGTATAGTCTGACTCCCAGCCTCAGTGGCCTGAAAAACACACCTGGGCATGTGTGTACATGCCCCAGACCCTGACAGGATGGGCAAATGGAGCAGGCACTGTGGAGTGACCACACCCCACTGGGGAGGTTTCTCTCCCTCTCCTCCCCCTTCTCCAGGGAACATACACACCATCTGGCAAAAGGGGAAAAAAAAATGAGAGAGACACTCTGATTATGGGCCTTTGGGAAGGGGCTAAGCATAGGGTGGGGCCCGAGGCGCTGGGATGAGTCCCAGGGCCAGACGCATGCTCCTGCCCTCTGTAGTGCAGCCAGGACCCCTCGGTGGACATGGGCCTGGCCCCGACCCTGAACTGAATAAAATTCTGTTTCGGTAAATCACTGAGACTCAGCACTTTCCGTTAACAGCAACAGAACGGAGTAGATCAGGTGAATTCGGAGTGGGACTACACAGTCTGATTTACTTATTTATATATTTAGATTTCTGCCATAGGGCAGGTATGCTCGCTGGAGAGATGGAGAGAGAGAAAGTGAGAAGTCAGTTCCAGGGATGGCCATGCTGCAATCCCTTCCCCTCCATTCTCCTCGAGGGATTTTAGGAACGCACGCACACACGCCTGGTGTGACTTTTCAAGCCGCTGAGGTCCGGGTCTTGAACCATGGAGCCAGCCATGCAGGATCCAACACCTTAACCACAACGCCACTGGCTGGCCCTAGGACCACAGTTCAATGCTCACGTCTTTATGGGATGCGGTGTTTGGGAGGGAGTCGTGCAGGGCAAGATGAACCCAGCAGGCCTGAGTTGTCTGAACTGCACATTCCAGAGAAAGAGCTGGCCTGTGACAGGTCCCGGCAGGTGCCCTCTCGGCCCTTGGAATGTCCTGCCTGGTAAGAGCATCGGTTTACCCTGGACTACCAATGAGCCCACCTTGACTCTGGAGGGTACGGAGACTGCAGTCAGCCACATGGCCAGGGAGCCAGGCCCACGTGACCGACCCAGTAAAAACCCTGGACACCAAGGCCCGGCCGAGCTGCCCTGGCTGGCAATAGCCCATGAGAGGGATCACACATCGTCTGTGGGAGAATAAACAGCCAGGCCAGGAGGCGGCACAGTGGTCAAGGTGCTGGATCCCACAGACCAACCAGGGTTAAGGCGCTGGATCCCACAGACTGACCAAGGTTAAGGTGCTGGATCCCACAGGGCGGGCCAGGGTTAAGGCGCTGGATCCCACAGGGCGGGCCAGGGTTAAGGCGCTGGATCCCACAGGGCGGGCCAGGGTTAAGGCGCTGGATCCCACAGGGCTGATTCAGACCTGGCATCCTGTTTTCTTGCTTTCTCTTTCTCTGGCAAGCTCACATGCCCTATGGCAAATTAATAATAACAATGATAATATATATAATTAAATAAACAATTCTAAAACAGTAATTGAATGCTGCCTGGGGGGCCCCACAGCAAGTGGATGGCCATGCTGCAATCCCTTCCCCTCCATTCTCCTCGAGGGATTTTAGGAACGCACGCACACACGCCTGGTGTGACTTTTCAAGCCGCTGAGGTCCGGGTCTTGAACCATGGAGCCAGCCATGCAGGATCCAACACCTTAACCACAACGCCACTGGCTGGCCCTAGGACCACAGTTCAATGCTCACGTCTTTATGGGATGCGGTGTTTGGGAGGGAGTCGTGCAGGGCAAGATGAACCCAGCAGGCCTGAGTTGTCTGAACTGCACATTCCAGAGAAAGAGCTGGCCTGTGACAGGTCCCGGCAGGTGCCCTCTCGGCCCTTGGAATGTCCTGCCTGGTAAGAGCATCGGTTTACCCTGGACTACCAATGAGCCCACCTTGACTCTGGAGGGTACGGAGACTGCAGTCAGCCACATGGCCAGGGAGCCAGGCCCACGTGACCGACCCAGTAAAAACCCTGGACACCAAGGCCCGGCCGAGCTGCCCTGGCTGGCAATAGCCCATGAGAGGGATCACACATCGTCTGTGGGAGAATAAACAGCCAGGCCAGGAGGCGGCACAGTGGTCAAGGTGCTGGATCCCACAGACCAACCAGGGTTAAGGCGCTGGATCCCACAGACTGACCAAGGTTAAGGTGCTGGATCCCACAGGGCGGGCCAGGGTTAAGGCGCTGGATCCCACAGGGCGGGCCAGGGTTAAGGCGCTGGATCCCACAGGGCGGGCCAGGGTTAAGGCGCTGGATCCCACAGGGCCGGTCCGGGAGTAGGCGCTGACTGACCAAGGTTAAGGTGCTGGATCCCACAGGGCGGGCCAGGGTTAAGGCGCTGGATCCCACAGGGCGGGCCAGGGTTAAGGCGCTGGATCCCACAGGGCTGATGCGGACCTGGCAGCCTGTTTTCTTGCTTTCTCTTTCTCTGGCAAGCTCACATGCCCTATGGCAAATTAATAATAACAATGATAATATATATAATTAAATAAACAATTCTAAAACAGTAATTGAATGCTGCCTGGGGGGCCCCACAGCAAGTTCAGCTGGAAGCCCCCACTTGGCGTCTCCTCAACCCTGCCCTAGGTGGTTTCCTCTTTGCTGACTTCATCTTTTTTTTTTTTTAAAAAGAGAGGTTTTTGCTACAGGGTGTGTGTGCTTGCTGCAGAAACAGAGAGAGACACAGAGTCAGAGAGGCAGAAAGCAAGAAATCGCCCCCGGGGGGATGGCCACGCTGCAATCCCTTCTCCGTTCTCCTCTCGGGATCCTGGGCACGCACGCCGGTGTGAGTTTAAGCCACCGGGTCAGGACTCAAACTGCAGTTGACTATATGGGAATCCAGTGACAACATCTGCTGGTCCCATGCTGACTTAATCTTTGTCCCCTCCACCGTAATAGGCCACCGTCACTTGTGTAACAGCTTTGCTGAGCTCCACGGGTCCTTCTAGTGAGTAGGTGACCCTCAAGGTGGCCTTGGGTCCTTGAACCACGCCCTACTCTCTCCCTGTCTCTGTAAAACACGCCATGACTCGAACTCATCACTGGTCCCTGTGCCAAGCGTCTCACACTGCGGCTGCGCCCACCATCAGAGGCCAGTCACGGAAGGGCCACCGAGCTGCTCCCTGGGCGGTCGCCGCCCCTGGAACCCCACACCCTCCTACAAACACATTCTTCCTCGAGCTGTGGGACAGATCACACCATGCCTCGGGTGAGCGCACTGGGGCTCCAGGAGTAAGTGGCTTGCCGGGGACACCCTGGCTGCGCAGCAGCCAGACCCCACACAGCCCCTCTGTGCTGTTCCCTTCCCTCCCCCACCAAACGTCCCACTCCCGTCCCCAGCTCACGTGACGACAGGGTCGTGGCAGGGCTGCAGGGAGAGGCAGCAGCAATCGAAGTCCTTCACGGCGTCCCGGCTCAGGCGAATGTTCTGGGTCCCATAGCCTGAGGCAGCTGGGGACAGAGACAGGCATAGTGACAGAAGGCAGAGGACAGGACAGGAGCATGGGGCACAGGCAGAGAGAACTCGAGCAGGACTCAGGGGAACAAGGCAGCTGAGAGTGAGTATGTGTGGGGCAGGAAGGCGTGGGGGGGGGTCGGTGAGAGGCAGGCGCCGGACCCTGATTGGGGGTGCCCTGACCGGGAGTCGGTGAGGCAGGCTCCGGGCCCGCTGGGGGGCAGCCGGTGGAGGCGCTGATGGAGACGCCTCTGGCCTTTGGATGGACCAAGCACATGTCTGGCCCTCCTTTGGAATGCGGTGCTAACAGGCATGCCTCCCCACGGGTGGGAGGATTACATGGATTCACGTACAGGAGGCCGGGAGGCAGCGCCACCGTGTGGGGGCCGCGTGTGCACCGTTACTCGGTCCTGACCACAGTGACCGTGGGAGTGAGCGTGCACGGGGGGAGGGCAAGATGCACAGGGAGCCAGGCCAGAGGCGCATTCGTGGCCCCACTCCCACCCCCGGCCCCGCACCTGTGTCCTTCTTCTTCTCGTGGTAGGTGTAGACGGCCCCCGCGGTGCAGTTCTTGCCGTGTCGTGTCATCCTGGGGAGGAAGGGCAGTGACCGGGTTATGTGAGCAGAGGCAGCCGGAACAGGGCAGACCTTCAAGGTCCTCAGAGCTGCTCCGCCCCTCAGACCAGAAAGCTGAGGGGGCAGGGGGTGCAGGTAGGGGTGAATAAGGGTGGGTGGTCACCAAGCCTGCCTCCTCCTGGAAGTCCTCCTTCAGTAATCAACTGAACTCATTATAAACTTAAAATGCGCCCTGTAACAGCAAAAGAACTATCTGTTTGGAGGTCGGGGGCTTGGGGGCCAATCAGGGTTTGAATCCTCTGTTACTACTTTGGAGTAGCTGGGGTAACAGTGTGCCATTAAAAAATTTTTTTAGAATTATTTTCTATTTGGGCCCAACAGGTGGCATGGTGGTTAAGGGCACTGGACTTTCACATGGCCAACCATGGTTCCAGTCCCAGACCTGGTGGCTTGCCTTTTTTTTTTTTTTTTTGGAGAGATTTTCACTGTAGGGCGTGTGCGCTCGCCAGACAGACAGAGAGAGAGAGACATAGAGACAGAAAGTGAGAAATCACCCCCAAGGGGGGATGGTCACGCCGCAATCCCTTCTCCTCCATTCTCCTCTCGGGATCTTGGGCACGCATGCACACACGCCCGGTGTGAGTTCTAAGCCACCGGGTCAGGGACACGAACTGCGGTCAACTACGTGGGAGTCCAGCGACATAGCCATTAAGCTAACTGCTGGTTCCTGTGGCTTGCTTTTTCATTCTCCCCTTACTCCCTCCCTCTGTGTCTCTCTCTGGTCTAATTAAAATGAATGAATGAATGAATGAATAAAACTAAATAATTTTAAATAATTCTTATAAAAAATGTAAAAATTGGGAACCAGCAGTTAGCGTAATGGCTATGTCGCTGGACTCCCATGTAGTCAACCGCGGTTCGCGTCCCGGACCCGGTGGCTTAAAACTCACGCCGGGCGCGTGTGCGTGCGTGCCCAAGATGCTGAGAGGAGAATGGAGGAGAAGGGATTGCGGCGCTGTCCCTTTCTGGTCAAATTAAAGTAAATAGATAAATAATGAAGTTAAATAAAATAATTCTTAAAAAACAAACAGGATATTGGACCAGCTGATAACATGGCAGTTAAGGCGGCTGGATCTTGCACAGGCGACTATGTGGTTCAAGCCCGAGATCCAGCAGCTTAAAAAACACACTGAGTGTGTGCGTGCCCAAATCCCAAGAAGGGGATGGAGGTGTAGCAGCATGGCCACCCCAGGCCTTTTCACCTCCTCTCTCTGCCTCTCTGCCTCTGGTGAGTGCAGGCCCCTATAGTAAATTAAAAACAAAGCTGTCGCACCAGACCTGTCCTTCGGGCAGAGAGGTGGGAACGGGGCCCTCTCTTTACCGCGCTACGCTCAAGAGCTCGGTGCTGCACTCTGTAACGGCCCATAAACTGGAAACTACCCAGACGCCCGTTACAGCGTGGGACAGAAGAAGAAACGGGCAGCCCAGCCCATGGCCTGGTGGTTGAGGGGGCTGGATCTCACAGTTCAAGCCCCGAACCTGGACACTTCAGAAATACACCAGGTGCATGTGCACAGATGCCCGAAATCCCAACAGGAGGGAGAGGCGGAGAAGGGGTTGTGACGTAACCGTTCCCCACTGGGGGAGGGTGCTTCCCCACTGTCCCCCCTCTCTCTGTCTCTTTCTAGCAAATGTATACACCCTCTGACAGAAAAAAAAAAAAAAACTTTAAAAAAGAAAGAAAGAAAGACAGAGGCACTTTCTCTCCTGCAACGTGAAAGGATACCCAATTTTCAGAGCTACGGCATGCGGGGTCGAGAGAAAAGCCAGACACGCCAGGGCCATGGAACTGGCCTCAAAGTTCTTTTCTTTTTTTTTAGTCCCCCCCCCCATAGGGCACAAGCGCTGGCCAGACAGAAAGAGGGAAAGTGAGAAATCCCCCAGGGAAGGTGGCAACGCCTCAACCCTTTCTCTTACATTCTCCTCTTGGGGTTTTGGGCAGGCACCCACAAGCACCTGGCGTGGTTTCCAAGCCGCTGGGTCTGGGACTGGGTCTGGGTCTGTGGCTGGCTGTGTGGAGTGCACTGCCTCAACTATCATGTCACCTGCTCCCTCCCTCAAAGGTTTTATTTAAAAAAATAAAGTTTAATACCTTTACTTGCTTCGAAAACTCACATTGTAGGCTGTAAAAGCATACGGTGAGGGGCTGGCAGGTGGCGTGGTGGTCAAGGCACTGGATTCCCACATGGCTGACCGTGGTCTGAGTTCTGGACCTGGCAGCTTGCTTTCTCACTTTTTCTTTGTCTGTCTCTCTGTCTCTCTCTCTCTCACTTCCCATTCCTCTCTCTCTGATCAAACTAACCAAAATGCTAACAAATAACATAATTCTTTTTAAGAAGTACAATGATTAAATGTGAAAGTTTTTAAAAAGTCAAATAAAAAATAACAGATTACCCTCCCGTTTCCTCTTATAAACAAGGGACAAGAGCACTCCAGGGGGGGGCGGGCGGGGGAGTCGGTCCCAGGGCCAGAACCCACCTCATTTCAGCCAGCCCTGATGGTGGGCAAACACACCTGCTGCACTTGGGGGGTCTCAGGCTGCAATCCAGACCCTCTCAGGTGCGCCTGCCACGTGGCGTTTTACCCCAGCACCACCATCTACGCCCGAGGTCCACTCTACAAAGTGCAGTTGCTGGGGCCAGAAGGTGGCATGGTGGCTAAGGGCGCTGGACTCCCACTTGCCTACCACGGTTTGAGTCCCAGACCTGGTGGCTTGCTTGCTCACTTTCTCTCTCTCTCGCTCTCTCTCTCACCCTGTCCCTCCTCTGGTCAAATTTAAAAATAAATAAAAAGTTAAATAAAGTAAATTTTTTTTTTGAGAGGTTTTTGCTATAGGGCGTGTACGCATGCCAGACAGAGAGACACAGAGAGACAGAAGGCGAGAAATCACCCTCCAGGGGGGATGGCCACACCACAATCCCTTCTCCTCCATTCTCCACTCGGGATCTTGGACATGCATGCACACGTGCCCGGCGTGAGTTTAAGCCACCGGGTCTGGGACTCGAACCGCGGTCGACTACGTGGGAGTCCAGTGACATAGCCATTACGCTAACTGCTGGTTCCAATAATAATAATGTTTAAACTAAATATCTTACATAAATAACTAACTCTGGGGGCCAGTCCCATGGCCTGGCGGTTAAGGGGGCTCGATCCCCCATAGCCATCTATGTAGTTTGAACCCGGTCCCAGCGGCCGGAAGACCGCTTCAGGCACATGTGTGCTCCAACCCCAACAGGGTGGAGAGTTGGAGAAGGGGCTGTGGCATGACCATGCCCCATGAGAGGTGGCTTTACCTCTCCCTTCTCTCACTAGCACATGTGCCCTCTGGCAATTAATTTTTTTTTTTTTTTACACTAAGTTTGTTACTGCCAGAAAGAGCACACACTCACTTGCCTTGAGTGCAAATGGGGATAATCATGGGATTAGCCACCGGGGCGGGAGCGCGGGGAGGAGGGACTGTGCTCAGAGCCGGGCACAAGATGCTCTCTCTCCAGCTTCAAGAAGGTTCCAGAAGCTGAGGGGGGGGAGCACAGCCAAGGTCCCCAGGAATGCAGACCTTCATCTCTGGCGCCCCCTCCTGGTTGCTTAAAGCACTTGCCCTTCGCTTTCAAACAGGAACCGCGGGGCTGCGGTGTTCTCTCTCCCCCTGCTGGCGCCTCCTGCTCGGAAGCGGGTTTTTGTTCGACGGTGATTTCTGCAGAACACACACGCAGACCTGCAGTTTGACGCGCTCAAACGTGCGCACCCCGGGAACCACCACCGCACCCGTGGAGACATGGAACACTTCTGCTACGAGAAAGTCCCCTCGAGCCCCTCGGGGCACAGTGCAGCCCGCAGAAACCGATCTTGATAAAACATCCGAACTTGACCCACAGGCCCTCCAGCCTCCGGGCCCTAAGCTTGAGTAGGCGTCCACCACCTGCCTCCCGGCCCCCCCTGCCATTTGCTCCCCAGCTCGGCCCCCGACTTCCGCCCGCCCCTCCCCCATGAAGGTTGCGCCGTCCTCCTCATGGACAGACTCCCGGCTCTATTCCTAGCTGTCAGCCGCCTTGACCCCTGTGGTATTTGGCACTGATGGCTCTGCTCACCCGGAGATGAGCTGGCCGGGCGTCCGGTGCCCAAGAATGGCTGTTTCTATGTGCAGAACGGCAACGTCCCCTCCAGGGGTAGGAGGGGCTGTAGACAGAGAACTTTTTTTTTTAAGGTTTTTGTCATAGGGTATGTGAGCTCACTGGGGGGAGAGAGAGAGAGGGAGGGAGGGAGGAAGTGAGAACTCACCCCCTCCTGCAGGTCAGGTGCAGTGGTTAAGGTAGTAGACGCCCACATTGCTGACCGTGGTTCGATTCCCACACCCAGCGGCTTGAAAATCTGGCTGGGTGCAAGTGTGTGCATGCCCAAAATCCCAAGAGGAGAATGGAGAAGTGACCATGGAGTGGCCACCACCCCCCCAAGCCCACGGGGTAATTCCTCTCTCTCTCTGACTCTGGCAAGCACGCATGCCCTTATGGCAAAAAAGCTTAAGAAGAAGAAGAAAAAAAAAAAAGAAAAAAATCATGGAGGGATGGCCATGGTGCAATCCTGTCTCCTCCATTTGCCTCTCCGGACTTTGGGCAAAGAAGCACATGCAGCTGGAGTGATTTTCAAGCTGCTGGGCCCAGGACTTCAAACCATGGTAGGCCACGCGTAAGCCTTCACCACCATACCACCTGCTAGCCAGAGGGAGGACTTTCTCCTTTGCTGAGGATAATGAGAACAGTCACAAGGAACATCGCTTGATCCCTGACTACTGAGCACCCTCCCCATCTCATCAACTCTAGAATCGTCACCTCTGCGACCCGTCCCGCCACCACCTCCACTTTGCAGATGGGTCACCTGAGGCCCAGAAGAGATGCCATTTTCTTAAGGCAGTAGTTCTCAAAGTGAGGTCCCTGAGGGCACCCAAGATACTTTCAGGAAGTCCAGGGAATTATTTCTATAGTAATTCTAAAATGATATTTGCCTTTGTTCTTACTCTTTGACAAAGGTACAGTGGAATCTTCCAGAGGGTGCTAGATGTGTGAAGACGCTCCGGTTCTGACAGCTGACATGTACTCGAGTTTTATTTATTTGTTTACTTAATTTTTGCCATAGAGTGCATGCCCTCACACAGAGGGAAAAGTGAGAAATCACCCCCAAGGGGGATGGCCACACAGTAATTCCTTCTCCATTCTCCTCTTGGGCTTTTAGGCACACAGTCATATGTGCCTGACGTGACTTTCGGGCTATCAGGTCCAGGACATGAACTGCCGTTGGTCACGTGGGACCTAGCCACCTTAAACTCCGCACTGCCTACTGGTTCTATGTCTTGTTTTTTTTTGTTTGTTTGTTTGTTTTGTTTTTTAAGACAAAGTCTTATTATGTTGTCCAGGCTGGACTTGAACTCAGTCCTCCCTTAGTAGCTGGGACTACAGGGACGTGCCACTGTGCCTGGCAGTCTATGCTAGTTTTTTTTGGAGAGGTTTTTGCTATAGGATGTGTGTGCTCGCCAGACAGACAGAGACAGAGAGACAGAAAGCGAGAAATCACCCCCCAGGGGGGATGGTCACGCCGCAATCCCTTCTCCTCCATTCTCCTCTTGGGATCTTGGGCACACACGCACACATGCCCAGCGTGAGTTTTAAGCCACCGGGTCCGGGATGCGAACCGCAGTCGACTACGTGGGAGTCCAGCAACATAGCCATTACGCTAACTGCTAGTCCCAAGTCTATGCTAGTTTCTGAGACAGCAAATATTGATAGACATAATTCACATAAGTAAAGCTCTTTGGAGTCTCCACTGATTTTCAAGATCCTGAGGCCAAAAGGTAGAGGCCCTGGCTGAGGGTGGGAGAGCTGCCGGGGGCAGTGCCAGGGTTTCCAAACCCCGGGAGCTCAACTTTTGCCCACTGCATGCGACTGTCTCCAGAGTTGGGCCAACTTCAAAACAGAAAATAGGATGACTGCCATCTGCTGTCACTAGCACTGTAGGGAGGAAACAGCCAAAGGGGAGGGACACAGGTTCACAGACTCCCCCAGCTGTGAGGTGGGGAGTCAAGATTTGAAACCAGGCACCCGGGCTCTGGTCTGCCCTCTCAACTGTGTGGCAAGTGTCAGTCCGCCCAGGAAGGTCACAATCGAGAATATGGACCAACTGATTCCTTTTCTGTACAAAAATTCTCAAAATCTAAAGTCTATTTCACTCTTTCAGCAAATCTCAATAATCCAGACACTGGGACCAGCAAGTGGCATGGCAGTTAAGGCGCTGGACACTACCACATGGCCAACCACAGTTTGAGTCCTGGACTTGGCGACTTGGTTTCTCACTTTTCCTCTCTCTCTCTCCCTGTGTGTCTCGCTGGTCAAATTTAAATATATAAATGAATAAATAAAATAAAATAAATAATTCTTAAGAAAATAATAATCCAGACACTAAATGTTTATTGCAGAATCCTGACCTGTATAGTAGGTTTAATAGAATCCAGTTGCAGGGCCTGGTGGTGGTGAAGTGATCAAGTGATTGGATCAAGGGCCAGCAGGGGGCGTCGTGGTTAAAGCACTGGTCTCCCACATGGCTGACCACCGTGTGAGTCCTGGCCCTGGGAGCTTGGAAATCATGCTACGTGCACGTGCCCACAATCCCAAGAGGAGAATGGAGAAGAGACTGTATTGTGGCCGTCCCCCAGGGGAGTGATTTCTCACTTTCTCTTTCTCACTCTCTGACAAATACATGTGCCCTATGGCAAAAACCTAAAAAAAAAATAAAAATGAACAAACCTACAGAAGAGGTCCTGGGATCTCCCGGAGCAAGGTGAGGATGCGAGTGTGCCCACACCTGTGATTCAGGCCAGCTGAGACTGGGGGTGTGGATTACAGTGTGAGAACCCTGCTAGGAGTGCTGCTGTCTCTTATTCATGAAGAAATTAATTAATTAACCCTGGCTGGGTGGCATAGATGGTAGCAAACTGAACTGCGTGTTGGAGGCCACGTAACTGACTCTGGGTTGGCCTGAAACACACTGGGCACATGTGTGCCCAAGATCACAACACCTTGGAGGGCTCTGAAAAGGAGACTGGCGTGATCAGCACCTGTTAAGGCTGTTTCTCCTTCTCCAGCCTGTGCATGAACATTCTATCATGAATAAAAACACATTCCAAAGGGACCAGCAGGTAGCAGAGTGGTTAACGCTCTAGACTCCCACATGGCCAACCTCAGTTTGAGTTCTGGACCCAGTGGCTTGAAAATCACACCAAGCGGGGCTGGCAGGTGGCATGGTGGTTAAGAACACTGGACTCCCACATGGCCAACTGCAGTTCGAATCCTAGACCTGGTGGGCTTGCTTTCTCAATTTCCCTCTCTCTCTCTCTGTCCCTCTCTGGCCAAAATTTAAAAACATAAATAAAAATACATTTTAAAAGTTTAAAAAATAAAGAAAATCACGCCAAGCGTGTGTGTGTGCATCAACATCCCAGGAGGACAGTGGAGGAGAAGGGATTGCGGCATGGCCATCGACCCCTGAGGATGATTTCTCACTTTCTCTCTCCCTCTCCCACTGTCTCTACCAGTACACATGCCCTACAGCAAATTAAAAATAGTTAAAAATAATTATTTAATTTTATTCATCATTATTATTTTAATTTGATCAGAGAGATGCACAGAGAGAGAGGGAAAGTGTGGAAGCAAGCCACCGAGTCCAGGACTCGAACCACAGTCAGCCAGTGGGAGTCCATCACCTCAACCACCACACCACCTACCAGCCCCATCCTACAGCAAATTAAAAAGAGAGAGAGAGAGAAAGAGAGAAAGAGAGAGAGAAAGAGAGAGAGAGAGAGAGAGAGAGAGAGAGAAATGACCATATCCTTCAAACACTCAGTACCAGGCCCTATGGGATGCACCTGACAAGACAGATCCGCTTGGTCCTCATGAAACCTTCCCAGGTCTTCTCCATTTTACAGATAAGAAAATGGAGGTTCAGAGACACTGGTTCCTTCCTCAGTCTGCACCTGACAGATCAATCCGCACAAGCTTTTCTTTTTTTCTAAGACATTGTCTCCCCCTTATTCGTGATATCATATGCACGTGCACACGCGTGTGAGAGGGAGGCAGAGGAGCGCCCTCCACAGGGCCTAGTCAGCCGCACCCCACTGCAGTGTGGAATATAAGAACTTACAACTCGATAGCAAAATGGCAACTCATCCAATTTACAAACGGGCAGAGACGGTCACAGCCCAAGTCCTGGCCTGGCTTCCCTGAAAGCATGCTGGGGCTGGAGAACTGAAAGGGGGTGGCGGCATGCCTGAGCCCCGCGGAGGGTGCTTCTCTTTCTCGCTCGTGTGTGTGTGTGTGTGTGTGTGTGTGTGTGTGTGTACATGGGCTGTCTCATGAATACAAAGGAATGAAGCGAAGAAGAAGAGAGAAGAAGAAAAGAAAAAGGAAACTGGGCAAAGGATTGGATTAGAGATTTCTCCAAAGATATACAAAGGGCCAAAGAGCACAAGAAAAGAGGCTCAGTACCACCTGTCATTAAGGACGCGCAGCCCAACCACAGATACGAGTTCACACCCCCGATAGCTATAATCAGAAAGCCAGGTAATAAGTAGTGGCGAGGATGCGCAGGAATCCCAACGCTCACCTGCTGCTGTGAGAACGTAAAATGGTGCAGCTATTTAGGAAAAGCTTGGCAATTCCTCAAAAGGTTAAACAGGGTCACTATTTGATCCAGCAATTCCACTTCCCATAGAATTGAAAACATAAGGGCCAGGCCGGCACGTGGTGCGGTGACTAAGGAGCTGGACTCCCACATGGCCGATCGTGGCTCAAAGCCACCGGGGTCCAGAACTCAAACAGTGGGGGGCCAAGTGGGAGTCTAGCAACATAACCATTACATCATCTGCTGGTCCCCCAAATTTTAAAAATATCAATAACTAGTAAATCTGGGCACTAGGGAGTCATACTACTCTATCACTTTTATAAGTTTGAACATTTTGTTAAGGAATTGTTCAATTTTATTTTTATTATTATTACTATTATTTTTATAATTATTTTATTTACCTTTATATTTATTTATTTTAATTTGAAAAGAATTAGGGGGAGAGAAAGAGACAAAGAGAACATGAGAAAACAAGCCTCCAGGTCCGGGACTCAAACTGTAGTCAGCCATGTGGGAGTTCAGTGCCCTTAACCTTTACGCCACCTATTGGCCCCAATGGTGGCAGTGATTAAGGCCTCTGGACTCCCACATGGTTTACCCTGGTTTGGTCCTGCACCTGGCAGCTTGCTTTCTCACTTTCCTTCCGTCTGTCTTTCTCTGGTCAACTTCAAAAAAGAAAAGAATGACAATGAAAAAAATTAAATTAAAAATAATTCTCTTTAAAAAAAAAGAGGGACCAGCAGGTGGCCTGTGGTTAAGAGCGCTGGACTCCCATATGGCCAACCACGGTTGGAGCTCTGCACCTGGCAGCTTGCTTTCTTACTTTTCTTCTCTCTCTCTCACTCTGTCCCTCTCTGGGCAAATTACAATAAATAGATAAAATAACTAAAGTTCAATAAAATAATTCTTTTTTTTTTTTAAAGGAGAGATTTTTGCTATAGGGCATGTGCGCTCCCCTGAGAGAAAGAAATCACGAAATCACTCCCCCACCATGGAGGGTGGGGAGGCCACGCCCCTATTCCCTCTCCTCTATTCTCCTCTCTGGATTTTGGATACCCACACACAGGTGCGCAGCGTGAGTTTAGGCCCTGGTCTAGGGACTTGAACCGCAGCCGACTACGTGGGAGTCCAGCGACATAACCACTACTCCGTCTGCTGGATTTGCTATAGGGCTCCTGCGCTCACCAGAGACAGACAGTGAGACAGAAGTGCGAAGGCAACATGCCGGGTCCAGGCCTGGAAGCGCGGTCCGTCACGTGGGAGTTCAGCACCTTAACCACCGCCACCTGCTGCCCTCGTCTGAATGAACATCCTGACAACAAAATATTAAAGTAAAAGGCCCGGTCAAGCGGGCCAGTGCACAACGAATCTGCGGCACGATCAGGATGCGAAGCCAGGACTGCCTGACCCAATGCTCCAAAGGAAAACGCAAGAACCCCGCAGAGGGAAGGCACGATCCACTGCCACCCTGCGTGCCTCCCGCGTCAGAGACCCTGCGACAGGAGTGCTGGCCCTGAGGTCTTTCATTCTAGCCTTCTGCATCATAGTCCGGGAAACTGAGGCCAGGAAAGTTCTTCAACTCCCACTTCTTCAACTCTCAGGAGTCCCCAGTCCCCTTCTTCCTAGACGCTCGCATCCTAACTCCGGCCCCGAGCCATCTACCACCAACCGCAGCTCTCAGAACTGCCCGAAGGCCGGTTTGGCTCCTTCCAGGGGATGCTGGGAGATGTAGTTCAGCTGCAAACTTCAGGGGCCAGCAGGGCTCTCTTAACGATGGCTAGGGAGTCGGGAATCCGAACTCTTACCCCTGTCTTTCTCAGAACCCCAGTCCTCTCTAGAGGGAAATCGATCCCCGCTACACTAGTCTTCCGCCACCTGGAACTCACCTCACAAGCGACTCCTCGTTCCTTCGTCGCTTCTTCGACTGTGTTCCTACGCCGGAAAGGAGCACTGTTTTCCCCCTCCGTTACGCCCACTTCCGCCTGGCCAAAGCGAGCGGAAGTAGACCTGCCCCTAGCCGTGGAGGTGCTTAGACTGACTCGGTAAGTTCTCTTTTCTTCCCTTCTTCCCTCCGGAAACGTGAGTAGCAACTTGAGAGTTCCGGTTATCAAATTGGTGAGAATACGGGGAACGCTTAGTATATACTAGGCATTTTTCAGAGTGGATGATTTCCTGCTTGATTCCCGTACTTTGCGTTTCTCTAAGTCTGAGTTTAAGGACTAACCACTCCACCTCCCCCTTTTGTGCTGCATCTTTGAAAGACTATTGGGAAGGGGCCGCTCCTCTGTTCCCATTTTACAGACACAGCAATTGAGAAATCAGAAATCAAGGCCATTTAAACCACACCCAGTAAGCAGGAATTTACTTCGGCACCAACCAGCTTCCCCAGGGACCGAACGAAGCATACCGTTCTCGCCAGTTTCTAAATAGCTAGAGACCCAGACATTATTTCTCTAGCTTGGCCAGGCGACATCCCAGGGCGGAAGACCGAGAGGGGCGACTGGAGGCCACCAGATCTTGTCCCCTATGTGCTTCACATTGTCAGAGACCCTACTGCCTACAGGGGTGCTGGCCCTTAGATCTTTCGTCCAAAGGTCCCTTTAAATACTTTGTCCCTTACCTGAGTCCCGCCCAGGGCAGGTAACCCCAAGCCCCGCCCCCTAGCCAGAACCAGGGATCTGCCGTCTTGCTGGGAGCGGAGCGGAACACCCCTCCTTCTTCCCCCTCCCCTCTTCCCAGCCCCTCTTCCCAGCTGGTCGGCGAGGCGCGGATTGAAGGGAAAGGGGCAGTACTCACAGGTCTGGGCAGGTAAGTAAATGTCCCTGGAGGCGGAGCTTGGCTTGGGGAGGCTGGCTTCCTGGCTCCCCAGACTTCGGAGACCCACAAGTTTGTGGTCCCCAAGCCCAGGCTCCAGACCCCCTTCCCCTCTTGCCCCTGGGTCTAAGAATATATGTCCCCACTCCTGTCTCTCCTCTCCTGTAATCTTTGATGCCTGTGGGTGGATGTGGCAGTGGGCACTGAGAGAGGCGGCAGTGAAGATTACCAGGAAGAAAGGAATCTGGATGGGCAATGGACATGTTTTTGAGACCTACTATGTGACAAAACTTGTGTTGAGTGGTGCAGAGTCCCTGATCTCATCCCTGGAGGCACACTGCCTTCACCCAAATCCTGCTTCTGACACTACAACCTGTGTGACCTGGACAGCTTACTGTACTTCTCTGTGCCTCTGTTTCCTCATCTATAACATGGGGGGCAGTGGTGGGATAGTGGTTAAGTAGTTTGACTCCCCCATAGCTGACGGTGGTTCAAGCCCAGCAGTTTGAAATTCTTACAGGGTGCGTGTGCATTGTGCCCAAAATCCCAAGAGGAGAATGGAGGAGAAAGGATTGTGGCGTGGCCATCCCCCCACCCTGGGGAGTGATTTCTCACTTTCTCTCTGTCTCTCCGTCTCTATGCGAGCACACATGCCCTATGGCAAAATTTTTTCTCTAAAAAATAATAATAATGATCATAATAATAAAGTACTGGGACCACAGGTGGTGTGGTGGTTAAGGCGCTGGACACTCCCACACAGCTGATCTCAGTTTGAGTCCCAGACCTGGTGGCTTGCTTTCTCACTTTCTCTCTCTCTCTCTCTCTCTCTCTCTCTGAGTGTGTGTGTGTCTCTCTGGTCAAATTAAAATAAATAAATGAATAAATAATCATTAAATAATTCTTTTTTACAAAAGGATAACAGTAGGACTGCTGTGCAGATGGGGACGAGTCGATACAGGAAAAGCAGCTCCTGGCACGGGATACAGGCTCCATAAGTGCCTGCTGTAGTCATTCGCGGACCAGAGTCAGGTCAGGGAGGCTTGGCCTCACTCCCAAGGGGCTGAGGCACTTGTCAGCTAAGCCACACCTGGTTCCAGGTGTCCACAAAATATGAGGGGCTCCCCCTCCCTGATGCTGCTGTACCTGGGACTAACCACCTGCCTGGATAGTTCTCCCACTGTGGGGCAAGACCAAGGTGAGTGTGCAGAGCTTTGAGTTCTGACTCCCCGGCATGGCGCGGGGGTCCCAGGAACCTTGACTCTAGTTGCTCCCTCCTCCCCCAGGCCTAGTAGTTCGGCCCCTACCTGTCCTCCCTCGGACCCAGGAGTCTTCACCCAGGGCCCCATCGTTCTCTATCTCCTATGTCTCCAGCCCTAGGGACCCTTCACTTTTCTGTCCTTTGTGTCTTAGGCCCAGAAGTCTTCCTGGATGCCCCGGAGGCTCAGAGTGTCCTGGGCAGCCGTGGCCGAGGCCGGGTCCGGCGAGCTAATCACTGGGACCTGGAGCTGTTCACGCCGGGGAACCTGGAACGTGAGTGCCTGGAGGAGCGGTGCTCCTGGGAGGAGGCCCGCGAGTACTTCGAGGACAACACCATGACGGTGAGGGCCCCGTGGCCGCGGAGTGGGCCCTCTGTCTTCCCCAGACCTTGGGGTCCTGACCCTGAATCCTGCCCTCCCTGGGGTCCTAGACATCAGGGCAGGCCAAGGTGGGTTTGGGAGTGTGAGTCTCCCCGCTGAATCTCTTCCTGTCCTCTGCCCACCCAGGAGCGTTTCTGGGAGAACTACATCTACAACGGCAAGGGAGGTGAGTGGGCCCAGCCCTCTTGATCTGTTGATCATGCAGCCCAGGCCGCCCTTGGCACCCTGGCTTAGGTGCACAAGTTGCAGGGGGCTGCCAGTCCCCCATCCCTGAGGCTGGCTGGTACAGGAGTCCTCTCTCTTCAGATCAGAGCCCCTGTCTGAGAGCTCGCACCCCCACCCCGTGCAGGTCTGAAGGGGAAGTGGGTGCAGTGAAAGGCCATACCTACCCAGCCTGCCAGGGAGTCTTGGGCCCCTCAGGCAGCTCAGTTGCTGGAGGGGCTGCTCCCTAGCAACGGCCAGGGGAGGAGGCTCAGCCATCCTCACCTGCCCACTTCACCCAACCCAACCCCTCCTGAGGTCTGAGGCCCTATCTTGGCTGCAGCCTTGTTGCTAAGGGGGGCTGCTCCTTAGCAACGGGTCTGCCCTGGCCAGACCCAGGAAGCCAGCAACACTACCTGGCTGGCTCCCCTCCCCCACAACCCCATCCCAACCTGGCCTGGTTGCTAAGGGGGCCTTCTCCCTAGCAACCACACCTAGAAAGGCTGCAGGCCCCAAGTCCTGGCCCACTGGAGGACCCCCTTCCCAGCACCACATGCCCCACCCCTTTGGCCTGGTTGCTAGGGGTGGATGTACCTTAGCAACATGCCCTAGGTCTGGGCCCAAGTCCCCTGTCAGAGCCTGGTTGCTAGGGGAGTTAGGCCTTCCTTCCAGGCCTAGTGGCTCCTTGCATCCTCCTGAAAGTTGCCAAATGGGCAGGACGTGCCTGCTCGGTGCTGCTTAGTGCTAAGGGGGCAGAAAAGCCTGGGGTTTACCCCCTGAGGAAGAGCTCCCCCTCCCCCTCCCTCCTTTCCAGGCCAAGGATGCCTCTCTTGCAGCCAGAGCTAGCAAGGAGCTGGAGGTCTCCCATGTCCCCTTCTCCTTAGACCTGAGGCCTTGGCTTGCTGGGGGCCTCATGTGCTTTTAGCAGCAGGCCCATGTGTGTTCTGGACACCTACTCACCTTTGTGGGGAGTTCCTAAGTTCCTCCGTTGTCCAGTGCATTTTCCTAGGCTTCTGGGACATCAGAGGCCTTCCCGTGCATGCCGTCTTCCTTCAGGATTGAGCCTTGCCCCTCAGTGGCCTGGTTAGTGCAAGGGGCTATTCCGGAGTGGGTAGAGCTGCCTCTGATGAAATGCAAGCATCCCCTTCACTGCCCTCCCCCGCTAGCCACCCCCAGCCCCAGCCAGTACTGGACCAGGGCTCCTGTGTGTCCCACGTGCTCAGGGAGGTCTCCAGTGCAAATGTGGAACTTTCCCGAGTGGGTCAGTCTCACCGGGCATTGCATTTTACTGCCACACCACTGTCTGCCACCCTTTCCCCTCCTCCGAGTTTGAATTTTAAATACACAATGAATAACTCTTTCAAAGGATTTTTTTTTTTTTTTTGAGAGGTTTTTGCTATAGGGGGTATGCGCTTGCCAGAAAGACAAAGAGAGACATAGAGACAGAAAGCGAGAAATCAGCCCCCAGGGGGAATGCCAACACCGCAATCCCTTCTCCTCCATTCTCCTCTTGGGAGTGTGAGTTTAAGCCACCAGGTCCAGGACTCGAACCACAGTCAACCACATGGGAGTCCAGCGACATAGCCATTACACCAACTGCTGGTCCCAGGAATTATTTAATTTTATCAATTATTTTTAAATTTGACCAGAGAGAGAGAGAGGAAAAGAAAGAGGAAGAGAGAGAGAGAGAAAGTAAGAAAGCAAGCCACCAAGTGTCCAGGACTCAAACTGCAGTTGGCCATGTGGAATTCCATGTGCCTTTAACACACCACCCGCTGCCCCCTCACAATGAATAACTTTTTCTTTAATTGCCAGAAAGCACGTGCACTCACCGCAGAGAGACAAAGAGACAGAGAGAGAAGGAGAAAGCATTCCCTAGTGGGGTATGGTCATACCACAATCCCTTCTCTATTTTTCCTATCGGGATTTTGGGCATTCACACACACACACCTGGTATATTTTTTAAGCCTCCAGCCTGGGACTCAAAGCCTGCAGTTGGCCATGTGTCTCTGGCTCCCTTAACCTCTAGGCTAAGGGGGTAGCCTGCAGCAAATAACCTAAAGTTATTTGTAAGTAAGTATCAATATATTCCAAAAAGTGCATGGGATATACTTACACTAAAAACTCTATTTTATGTGCATATGAATTTCCCACTTAACTGCACACCTGATATTATTATTTGCTAAATCTAGCAATGGTCAGTGTTGGGGCCTCATAAAGCCTCCTCACCCCACTTTCAGTATGCCCAGCTCTGGGGACATGAGCCACCGTCTGTCCAGGGAGGGCCTCTGCTGTCATGGGAATACAGCTAACGTATTTTCTAGTCTTGGGTGAAGTTCTCACAGGCCCTTTTGTGCATCTGGCTCCACTGGGATTTTCCAGCCTGGGGTAGGGGTTATGCTTCCCATTTTACAGAACAGGAAATGGAGGTGCAGGGACCAGCAGGTGGCGTGGCGGCTGAGGCAGCTGAATCCCACATGGCCAACGGTGTGGTTTGAATCCCAGGCCCTGTGGTTAGAAAACCACACCAGGTGCGTGTGTCTGTGTGCCCAAAACCTGGGAAAAGAAGGGATTGCAGTGTGTCCATTCCCCCTAGGGGGAGATTTTTTCACTTTCTCTCTCTCCCCCCTCTTTTGGTGAGTGCATGCACCCTAGAGCAAACTAGAAAACAAAAGTTAAAAATAAGAAAAGAGAGTCTCAGAAAAAGCAGTGTGGCGAATTGCTTTAGGTCACAGGGGTAGGGAGTGGCCCCAGCTCTGCCTTGCTTCATAACCTGTGCTCCTCCTTTGGGACAAGGAATTTGGATATGGAGTGGGTGGCAGTCCCTGAGTCAGTGGCTGCCTCTCTCCCAACAGGGCGTGCACGGGTGGATGTGGCAGGCCTGGCAGTGGGGCTGACGTCTGGCATCCTGTTCATCGTGCTGGCCGGCCTGGGAGCCTTTTGGTATCTGCACTGGCGACAGCGACGAGGCCTGCAGCCTTGTCCTCAAGAGTAAGGGGTTTTCAGGGAGGAGCGGGTAGGGGGCTGGGAAGGGAGGAAAGGCCACCTAAGGAGACAGTCTGAGGCCTAAGGAGACGGTGGTGTGGAAGGTGAGTTGGCCAGCTCACTGGCATCCGCTCATGGCACCACAGGCGGGTCTCTGTCCCCACATGGTAGGAGCTCTGTTCCTGGGCTTTGTGGTCCTGGGTTTCTGTGAGATTGTCACTAGGAAGTTGCATGTGGGGAGGCCGCTCCTGTGCAGCCTGTGGTTTGGGGGTCTGTGCAGCGTGTCTGCTGAGAGGGTGCAGGAAGTGTGTGTGTGTGTGTGTGTGTGTGTTTCTTGCTGGCAGGGTCTGAGAGGGTGTACGAGTGTCAGTCTTGGAAGAGTTATGGGTCTGGGGGTACTTTCAGGGTGAGCTGATCGTGGGAGAGGATGGGATTTGAGACTGAATGTGCCTCTGTGTTGGGGTCCCGTGTGCATGGACCCGGTCAGGTCTGTCTGTTTCTGTGTGTGTGTGCCTGCCTTTCTGCAGGGTTTCTTTTTCTCCATTACTCTGCCTGTGTCTGGTGCACAGGCATGTGAGAGTCTCTCTGCGGTGGTTGATTTCTGTCTGCCTGTCCCTAGGTTCTCTGTTTCCATCGTCTCTATCTGGTAGGTTTCTCCTGATAACTACCTTTTCTGTCTCCAGGGCAGGGCTCATTAGCCCTCTGAACTCTCCCGGCCCACCAGTGCCCCTGCCTCCACCCCTACCCCCAGGCCTCCCCACCTATGAGCAGGCTCTG